CGAGGTCTGAAGGGCGCGATGACCGGTATTAGCCAAGCAAGCACGAGAAGTAAAGTCAGTCTCGGGCAGGGCTTCATTCCTGGTAGGGCAAGAGTAGAGAAAGATACGAGGGATTTAATTGTATTTTATTTTAGCTATCTAGGGACGGAAGAAAGCAGTTCATGAAGCGCGCCCCCGGAGGAGTCTAGATACATGACAGCCCCGCCTGCCCTGATCGGAACGTCTAAATCAAGCTAAATGAGGGATCTCGCGGCGCCGTATCACTTAGGGCACATGGACCAGGAAACCCCGGCGTGTCACACTCGGGGATGCGAGGATACGAACGATGCCTGGGAAGGGTTGCGGTGTGGTGTGACGGAGAAACAGAAGGGCAGGCGGCGATGGAGCGAATCATTTGCCCATTTTCCTTTTGTTCTCGGATCATAATAATACTGTAATGATCAAATGCGTGGGATCTTTTCCTCCGAGAGAAAGTAGAACCAAACGCCTGCAGGTATAAAGTGTCCTATCTTTAAAACCGGCAATAACGGAATGAACAACCTTGTTCGCGGTTTGCGCCACAAATTACAGAAAAGAACGAAAAAGAACAACAAAAACGAAAAAGACGTCTGAAGAAACGCGCTTAACACTGTTCTTCTGTCCGCCTTTCCTGACCGCAGAAGAGACGATCTGTTGAGGAAAATCCACTTGGCCCTCAGAGAGGAAAGGGCTGGCCGAGGCCTGGACCCAAGAGGTGGAGGTGGAGGACAGCCTGGCGCTATGGTGACCGAACCGCAGAAATCGGGGGATACGTCGTGCGAGACATGCCAGCCAAGATGCCCGAGTGCGAAGGGAGAGTTTGTGTGAGAGGGCTGTATGCATGTGTGACAGGACCTCTTTGATGTGATCTCGCCCGTTGATGTCCTCGGAAGAACGGGAAATGGAACGGTCAAATCCAGCGCATCCTTACTGATTAGTCTCGTTTTTGGTCTGTATGTTCATTTGCCGTGCTACGCCACCAACTGCGTAGACTCGTGCCGTGTCACAAACGGTGACTTGCCAGTGCCCTTCCAAGAGAAAATAGGATCCCAGTTCCTCTTCTACTAGAGGGGAATTTAGTGTTCTGCCCAAAAGTCTGGTACAGCTTGATAAACCCTAAGCTATATGAAAGGGAAGGGCAGACGTAAATTGCATCCTGCTGATACTGCGCAGCAAGCTTCCCTTCATCCGACGACAAAAAGAGAGTCTCCGTCTCTCCGTTAGCCCGTTAAAGATGGACGCGCGCACGACCCTGCAGGATCCAGCGCCACCGTCGTGACACGATGGCACGAATCTTTCCCCGTGTCTGTGTGGACCCAAGTCCTCCTGCGAAGTCAGCCTTCTAGACCGATGGTGCGTTGAGAAGCTGGAAGGCATCAGTCCAACGGGAAGCTCGCGGGCACAGAAGTTGCGCTCCCGGCAGAAGGTGATACTAAAAACAATAAGATGAGCAGGCAAGCTTTGAAAACTTGGGTGTGCAACGTATGTGAACATGCATTACGTTCTTGGCTTCGGGATGACATATTTTTGCGACCACGGATCTCGTAAAACGTTTCCGCAACTCCGAACATAGACAGGCGTGACGTGACGGCCAAACAGCATGGTCCGCCGGCTGCCGGGCGCCGAAGTTCCATGATCTTGGTGGCGCGGGGCGCGACCTAGTTCGGCTGGTCAGAACGATTCGCAGGCATTGCAGTGCCTGTCTCGTTCCTTCCCCCTTTCCATGGAAGTAAAAAGGATGCTACTTACTGCTTGAGACTGAGAGTCTAACAACGCTTCTTATCGTCGGCCACTGACCGATCTAAACGAGCAATCTGCATGTTTGGCTCGCTTGCTAAGATGCATTATTTTGTGCAAAATTTATTTTTTCTTCTGTTTTAGCTTGCAGTAAGCTTTTGAGTTTAACTCGCGATCGAAGTTTGGGCTGAAAAGACTCACTTGGAAACCCGCGGCCTGTGTTGAGGGAGGGCAACTCTCGAACTATGCCATAAAGTGGTGTCGCTATCGACCCTTTCTGGCCCTTTCTACCCTTTTGGTTTTCGCCGATGTAACGTGCTCCTTTTCGGGATCCGCATCATCTCGCGTTCCAACATGACACACACTTTTCGAACGGGGTTAGTCGCTTATTACGAGAAGGAAACTCACCGGTTACATTCCCTGATCAGGAGTGTATTTACAATACTACAGTAAGCGGTTTGCACGAAATTGTAAGCGACAACCAAGGGGGAGGGATCTTGGAACGTCAGCCAGCGATACATGCGGTACAAAGCGACACTCATGATGCACGCACTTACTCGCTTACGCTTCTTTTCCGCTGGAATGGCCCCGTGGCGGTATCGCTTCGGCTGGCATATCTCATATCTCTAGGCAGATAACTCATCGGGCATCGTCCTCACCGGTTGCTCCAATAGCCTTTGGCGTGCCGTCATGAATCATATCGGGTCATCTAAGTATCACTGGGTAGGTTCACTGGAATCTCCTGATTTGGAACGAATGTGCTCGTGCACATCAAATCAACACGTCATTTTCTACTTTAGTGTAACCTCAGCGACAACATCAGATCTAAACCGAGATACATGCCGTAGTAAGGAACGAACGGGCGGTACACGTACATGGAGAAAGACAACAACGCCGATGAAGAAACGGTGAACGTGAACGGCGGATACGACTCTATAGGCTGTGATTAGGCTGTAATTTGAAGCTGACTTAGCTCCGATCGTCTTTTGCGTGGCGCGTCTTTTTCCACGAAGAAAGGTACAATTCGCATGAGGTACAGTACGGTAGTAGATCAGGCGGGTAGATAGTGCAAGGTACATTCAGATACAGGTACCACACACATATGTAATTAAGCAACCCAAGACTCGTCACATCGCCATCACCATCATGTTGTGGAGTACAGTCGGTCCGAACTGCATTGAGAGTATAGCTACAACACGCTGAAATCCGATTGGATCCTGTACTCACATCAGGATACGCGACTTCCCTTCGCGGATGGGATGAGGGAGCGCTCGCATTCTGGTCGCCGGTGGACCACTGTGGACTTGCGCCACCCTCCATCGATGGTACAAGTATAGCGGGCTGTGTCTAGCATCCCATCAATACACAATGGTGTGGCACAGTATGACAGTAGCAGGCGATGCCAAAGGACTCGTTCACAATTGTGCAGGCTATTGAATCAATGTAGCGTGGGTGTAAAGTATGTCAATACAGTCGCGGATCTTACTCTTGTCCGGCTTTCAACTATTGTACAAAGAACGAACGAAGATGTTGATGCCAGCTAAAATCGTCGACGACCGGCCGCTTGGAGAGGACATGTCGCGACGTGGTGTTACAGCTTTCAGATGATGTCTCTCGACAAGCCGCTCGGCCCTAGACCTGAACCTCTAAGGCTTTCCAGTGACCCGCGATGATTCGTCAGTACTTTAGCCAATGTAGTCAATTGCCCCGCGCACCACCACCCTCGCAAGGTTCGATAGTCTTTGCGACTGCTTCCAGCTTACCATGCATTGATACCAGTGATCACTGGTGCGTCGAACACACCACAATTTCGGACAGCTTTGGATATGATGCCTAGCACAATTCCTGGGTGCACAATAATGTGAGCGTGAGAGTGAAGGCTGTCCGAGAAGGTGGTATGTCAGAGAAAGCAGTGACTACGATTATATATGCCCCGCCGAAGTCTTGTTTGCGCGATAGCTTCTCGACCTGGACATCCAATATGACTGAAGCCTAAGATCTCCTGGGCAGCCTGCCCAGATTTCGTTGTACGGATGTCATTATGACACTGCCGCTCTAGACGGATAAATGTGATGGTGTCCCATAGCTTGCCCATGCTCTTGTGGTAAGTCTAAGAACAGCCTCTTCTGCTATCCACTGTGTGCTCAAGTCAATTATGCCTTTCCTCGGTGCTGCAATCATGTTTCCCACATCATTCGGTCAATGCCACGAATGGCGGTGCGGTACATACCCAAGGAGATCTTGGTGACTCTTACCTGTTCACTAGTCGGGGACATGGTGGGGTGTCGCCCGGCGACAGAAGCATGACGAGAATACTCAGGCCACATTGCTCCCAAATGACACGTTCTATAACAACTTACAGCTCTATAGTGGAAGACCTCGGTGGCATTCCGCAAAGTAAGGAACTCATCATGGCCAGGCCATCGCAATACCACTCCTCTTCTTTTATCAATGTTACAAAGCGAATGTCGATCGGTAGGATAATTCTTTACAAGCCAAGGTGCGGCCTACAATACTTCGAGCTCTATACAACCTCTCGTGACCATACTCATTGCTTTCTTGAACAATGTCGTGTGATGCTTGGCACGCCCGAGTTCGAAGCCAAGTGGCCAAGAGAGCGCAAGCTACCCGAAAATCCGGTATGTCCGAGGAAGCAGTGCTTGCTATCCGTATACTTCCTTCGCAAGGAGTAGTGAGCACGAGATCAGGCCCAATCCTCCGCCCCTCCATGTGGGTTGCTCCGAGACCCCCGCCTCATTTGCCCCTGTCATTTCATTCTCACGTGCTTCCCAGGTGACCGTTGATCGGTAGACTTCGGATGTAGAAGAAAAGCGTCGTGGCGACAACCCTCACACTAGCAGTCTCTATATTCTTGATCGTAGTCTGCCCTAGGAGCGCGGACGCAAACGAATATCGATTCCTGTTCGCGCTTTCGCTGAAAGCGGTGTCCATACCCACGAGGAAAGCAAGGGAAACAAAATCACCTGGTCGCGATGGAAAGGAAAAATTGACTTACCGTCGAGAGCGGGGTTTCGAACGCAATACATGATCGTTGATCCGGGTAAGTGCAGCCTCAACGACGTTTGTCCGACGACGCGCAGTGATAAGCAGGTCTGGAGTCAGCGCACACTGCAAAGAGACTGTTCAAACGTAGGACGAACTCTTTAAGGCGACATGATGCAATACGGGGGTCTCAGTGAGAATATGATAGCTTTATATATTCATATTCAATGACAAAACCGTGAAACAGCGTAATTCAGAGGAAGAATGCAAGGCTCATATTTCAGTATCGATCACCTTGAAGTCGCTGGATCGAAACCAGTCGCTGTTAGATTTAGTTTTTGTCTTTTTGTCTTTTTGCATCGATCGCGTGTAAAGTTGACGAATGGAGTGGAGGTGCACCACTCAGACCTAGATCACTGGTCGCCCCTCGAGTGTATGCACGTCTCTGCTGCTGCATCTGTCTCGCACCTGCTTGAAACGACCTCTGATCATAATCCATAATCTGATATCATCTGGGATTGTCGGTGCTATACCTGACGACGAAGAGGCTGCCAGACGTAGTGACTCTAATCTGATAGGACCTATTTTGGGATCAGTCTGGACTGATAGATCACCTTTCTGCGACATGTCACAAGACTTCACCCCTCAGCTCTTCAAAGCGCAAGCTCTACTCCACGATTTAATCGCCAACATCGAAGCGTTTGATATCGAACGACTGCTGTATCATGCGCCCGTGATAGATCGGATCAAGTTTGAAGAGAGCTCGTGGGGACAGGAGGAAGTGATGGGACTGAGGAAGTGGGTTGAAGGGATTCATCATCATCGAAGGATCCTAGAATCGGTACGTATACTTTGACCTGCAGGCGCATAGTGCCTCTGCTACCTCTCTACAACTGGCTCTTGGCATCGCTCTATCCCGAGAAGGTGCTTGGACGCGACTGATGAAATTCGCTAATAGATGACCAACTCGGGAATTCCGCCGAAAGAAGATCCCCTACCGACAGTCCAAGGCTTGATCACATACTGGAAGATCATTGTCACTTCCAGACCGCCCATAGTGGGCGTCAGAATGGCCATGGGAGGTGAGAAGCGAATACAAATCGGTAATAAGATGTCAAACGGTCAACGCAGTGCGGCGTCAACACCCATCGGAGCAAAGAACGGGAGACTGCAAAACGCCGGGTTGGGGAAGGGAAAGGAGAAGGAGAAGGAAGTTTGGGTGGATGTGGTTGCTGATGGCGGTAGAGAATGGATTCGGATATACAGGTAAGCTTGGAGTGTCCCTGGTCCTCCATTTCAAGGTGAAGCAGTGCCTTTTGCCAGCCTCCGGGATGTGGGTCGCTTGTAATTTCGCCCGTATTGCTTACTGAACTGGCACTTATACCATCCTCAGTAAGAAAATCTCGCACCTTCTCGCCGAATTTAGAGAAGCAGATTCGTACATAAATAGCGACTATGACTCCGACTCCGACCCCGACTTCGAGGAAGACGACCTGGCAGTCCAAAAGGGACCAAGACCTGATGGCTTCAGTAACGACGGGCCCTCCAATAGTTTGACTGACATGGCTCGAGATCTATCGAGAGCCGCTTCGATGGTAGATCGGATACCTGGCGCGGAAGCCCCTAAACTCACGGTTCGCCTGTCTCGAATACCTGAAACTCCTCAACATCTGTACACCGACAATAATGATCAATCGCCCTCTTCTCCCAGCAACATCCAAGACGCTGGATGGCCAGACTTGAGAATACCCGAGACGTTCGACCGAGTTCGAGCGATGGGTATTAACCTCCTATTTGGCGATCTATCCGATATCCCTCTTTCGTCGCCCGTACTCAAAGGTCATCCCGTACCTGCGCAATCTATACCGTCACTCAAGATCAATCTTGATATCACAACGCTCATGGGTCTCTGTTCAGACGTGCTACATTACCCTTTGCCTGCAAACAGACAAGAAGCGGCCCGCCGATCCCTTCGACCGAGCGACCAACTACTGGTTTCTGTCTCAGGTCAGGTGGGATCGAGGGGCAGAGATGGGACTGGAAGAGGCAAAGGGAAGGGCAAGAAAGAAGATGAGAAGGAGATGGAGGAGGAAGACGAAGAATTGAAAGGACAGAGCCAGAATTCGAGGGAGTTGTTCAGATGTATATTGGAAGAGATGGAGAGACCCTTCATCGAAGAGTTTGCCAAAGTGCTCATAACAGCCTGGGAGGATCAAAAAGCCCGTGACAAGAGCGACCATCTGCCATATCATTGCAACCTACATGAATCAGCCGAGAACGGCGCATCGGGTCTTCAAGAGAGAATATCAAAGCTCGATCTGGATCGAGGCGCCGACCTTGACAACGAAGGTGGGACGCCCCAAGTGGAATTCTGGACGACTCGCCAAGCGGCCCAATATACCTACGAGGCACTATCTTCAGGTCCCGCCCATGGGTTCGGTGCGGAACAGCGCCGTATGCGCCGTATGCTCGGACTGGAAGCAGGCGATTTCTTCGAAGGATCCAGATACGAGGGGAAAGCAGGGGTGTTTGAGGGATTCAAGCTGAAAATCTTCGATACAAACATGTTCGAGCCGGGATCTGTTATCGAAAACAAACCTGACAGATCCAGAGAGGGTCCGACCGGCGAGAGTACGGAAAATGAGGATGAGGCTAGAAACGAGAAGGGGAATGCAGTGTGCAAGACCGGATTCCATAGGACACTGGCCGATATCACCCAGCTTTTCTTAAATCAATACTACGCCTCAATCTCACCTGCCCCTACATCCGCTTCCGCAACCTTACCCAATTTCCTTCAACCCAAGAAGATCCCCACGCCGCCCATAGCCAAAATCTCCTTACCCTTCCCCGTAGTCTCATTGCATTCGCTCCATCGCGGTGCGCTGGAAGGCATGACGACGATTATGATGGGCACTGCTACGCTTAAGGAAGTCTGGGGTCAGACTCGCTGGAGAGTCAGAGGTTGGGAACGAGGATGGTACGATCTGGATTGGGAGGATGATGAAACCCACCAGCACAAACATGAGGAGAAAGTGTCGCAGCGTCAACAGAAGTGGGAAAACGGGCCAACGGCGGTCATGATCTTCCCTTATCGTGTCTTTGGCGAAGGCAAGCGAGTCAGATTTGAGAAAGGCGATTACTCGTACCCTACGACACAATGATCACAACAGCCAACCGGTTTATGTGCAAACCACCGTCCCTGGTGTACAATCTGAAGTGTTCCCCCTTGTCAAATCAGCGCGAGCCGATGATATGTAGTGTCCAAACCGATATCACGCATAAGATACCTGCTCCTACTGTACAACATAATTATCGTTCCCACCAAGCGCGTAGGGGGCGCCCAGCCTGCTCATGAGGTAGGAAGGAACTGAACAAACAATACAAGTATACAAGAGTGATCATGGAGACCGAGATGTACAACTCGGCCAGGAGTCAAGACACCATCCGTGGTGAGCTAGCGGCTGGATGCTATACCATGGCGAGAGGATCTAAGATGTATACGCAAGCAGAGATGTAACGTCAGCACTTGCCATATTCAACTGTGTTTAATCGTGATCCAAGGGGCGCAAGCCGATTCCAAAATGATTAACGCCGACAGAGAGGAAGATTCGTCCACCAGAGCCGGTGTCCTTAACCACTCACCATCTTCGCTCTCGCTCCCACTGCTGTTGGCGAGACCTCGAACCAGAGTTCTAGCTCCATTCCCGTTATTGATTCCTCTGATCCGCTGAGCTTGACCCTTCTTAGGAGCCCTGATATGCGCACCACGAGCACCGGCTGTGTTCCGGTCGTCGGGACTGATGCTAATCGGTTCAGCTTTCACATCAATGTCGTGTACAGCCGTGGCCGTAGCGTCTGACTTCTTGTGTTGCCTGTTGTTGCTGGACATCTTTTGATGGTTGCTCGGGATCATTGTTGACGTTGTGGAGATCCGATTTATCTTCCCGGCTGTACTGGCAACCGGATTTGATTTCAAGGGAAAATCGCGATCTCGATCTCGATTTCGAGACGGCGTGTAGTTCTTAGGCGGGCTCTGTGAATGTTGCAAGGCAAAACAGTATAGGTCAGCTACACGTGCTCTTATGATTGCTCGCGTCACCCTATATGTATAGCGACAATAGAAGGACGGACCGGGGCCTATCATAGTGGGAATCGATGAGACTCACCTGATTGTACAGTTGACTTCCGCCCAACGGATCGCTCTGCATCCTCCCATCACCATCTACATCGTCGTCCGAATCAAAGTCAAGATGATCATCCGCTCCGTCCAAGATGATCTTTTGATCCCTTGCTCTCCGGTGAAACAAGAGACTCCGAGACCTGCCATCTCCTGTCGTGACATTTTCAATGGCGTCGACCTCTTCTTTCTCTGCTTCAAGATTGCTGTCGATGTTGTCTTCACCACCACTAGACGAATCTTGTACTCTCCGTCTCTTTTTGGATTGCGCTCTCATAGGCTGACGGATGGAGGACAGTGATATCTTGGAGGAAGAAGCTGCGGGCTGTGTTTGAGGCTGAGTTATCTGGCGAGATGAGCATTGACGTTTAGACGAAGATGCAACCGGTCTAGGTTTGGCCGCGGCGGTCTATCGATGATCGCGCAGGCCTCCAGTTAGCACTAAAACCACAGGAGTATGACGAGTCGTTGCAAGGGCAAGCGAGCCATGTTGCAGCTGCAATACGTACCCAAGGAGGTACCGCGCACTTACTGGTGTCCTGACATCTGCTCCCCTAGAAGACAAATTTGCGTTTCCACTTCCCCTCGCACTGGCACGATGATCCGGATTGACCAGACTTGCCAGCTGACGCTGATTACTTCCGCTTCCCATCTTCAAAACCGATCCCGATCCCGACCCCGTTTTCTGAGCCTGTTCACCGGACAGAACATCGTCCAGACGTTGCCTCAGAGCCCAATAGCTCTCCTTCCATTCATCTCTCTCTCGTATCAGCATGTCCTTCTCCTCCAGATCACGCTCCCTCTCCACTTGCCAATCCCCCTTCTCAGCCAAGATGGCCCGAAGCTTGTTCTCGACTTCTTCAAGCTTATCTTCCGTTTGGCTCAATCTCGATTCGGCCTTTTGTAAGATTACATTCTCCGATTCGAGCTCGGCTATGCGCAGCTTGTATTCGGTGTTGGTCTGTAAGATGCCCTTGTTTAGGAAGGTGGCCAGCTCGAGCTCGTGAGTGGTTGATGACAGCTGCGCTTCGAGGTTGGCTATTGTCGTGCGTGACATCTCGAGCTCTCTCCGCGCCTCTCAGCAGAGTTCGAGAGATATTCGCGTATCTGGCGAAGCGTACCAGCTGTTTCGTCGCTCTTATCGTTATAAT